GTGAGACCGTGATATGCAATCATGAAGCAGATTTAGAAAATCTCGCACCTTGTAATCATGAAAAGGCTGTTACAAGGATTTTTTTGCATGTTCAGCACAGCGTTCAGAAAGGATACAAAGTTGTGTTGATTAAAGCAAACGATAATGACATTTTTGTAATTGCGATTAGTGTTTTTCATAGTCTCAAAGAAATGGGTTTAGAAAAGCTTTGGCTTGAGTTCGGTCAAGGGAAAAATGTGAAATAGGTACCTGTGCATGATGTTAGTAATAAGTTGGGACATAACAAATCTGCTGGTATTTTTATTTTTCCATGCTTTTTCTGGCTGCAATAACGTGTCAAGTTTCAAAGGTAAAGGGAAAAAATCAATATGGCAAATGTAAAAAAAGTGTTTGCCCTGATGTGACCAATGTGTTTTGGAAGTTGAGTACCTATCCCCCGGTAGTAGATGGTCTTAATATTGCTTTGATTCAAATGTATGTTGTTTCATTGTATGACAGGTCTAGTCCGGTGGCCAGTGTTGACGAAGCGAGATTTTATATGTTTGCCTGGAAACAACGTTTATTTGATGCTATCCCTCCAACAAAAGCGTCACTGGTTCAACATATCAAACGAGCAGCATATCAAGCAGGATGCATATGGAATCAGGGATTGACATGTTCAATGGAAGTCCATCTGATTAGAGCTGGAAGTTAAAGGATGATATATGGACAGCTGTATGGTCCAATCATCCTCCAATTGCAGAGTCATGGAAGCAGTTTACAAAATGTGGATGCAAATATGAATGTTGGGGTTGATGAAGTGCTTCAAGTTGAGTTTACCTTTTACTACTCTATGCTGTTGTCAGTGTGATACATAATCATTTTTGAAAATGTTCTGATATTGTAAAGAGTTAAACCTAAAGAGCCTGGATGTTTCTTTAGAGAAAAAAAAAAAAAAAATTTGTTTGAATGGTCAAGGATTTTCCCGATTTGTAAATATCTATATATAAAATGACTTTCTATAATTGTGTTTTAAACGAATTTGTAGATTTAAGAAGATATAATGATACTCGTCACATGTATTGTGACTGGTTTGATACGTCACATGTATTGTGACTGGTTAGATTCCATTCCTGGGTTTCTAGAAGGACAAAATGTTGATAATATCAGAATGTGGTGGTCTTTTATCTACCATTTTAAATCCAAAATGGCCTCCAACAGCTTCATGTTGATTCTGAATGTATCTTTATGTTGCAAAAAATATATTTAGCAATTTCTTGTCGCGTTATGGATGTTTATTTGCAACTATTGTGCTTTAAATACATTTAGTCGTTTAGTTTCATAGGAATTTTAGTTATTGTCTGCCATATTGAAAAAATGGCCGTCATTTTGATTTTTTTGTGTTGGTAAGTTGCTTTTTTATTAAAGGGTTAGTTTAACTTGTCACATACAAAATTTGGTGCTTGTATCGCAAAGTGAAAGATACTAATGATATTTTGCATTAAGCTGCTGCGCTAATTATGCAAAACGCAAAATTATAATATAAAAATTGAGTATAATATATAAGAAATATATTGGTATTTACTTATTTACACACTTCTATACACACATTTTATAATACATATTATTGATACGAATATCTATATTTCAGATCTATAAAGATTCAGATCAAAATCTAGAATAAATATGATCAAAAATGAAATAAAATATCTTTATGTGTATATATATTTATATGTATACCCCAATAACGGGGACCAACAGACCCCCTAATAGGTATAAGTTTTCTTTAATTTTTATTTTTGCTGTTCAAGTATATAAATACAATAATTATTATAAAAAAAATACTGATGATGGCCAGGGGGAAGAAAAAGACAACCCCGAGATTTAGCAATAAATCATATCAATTTACAAATTGATAATAAATGATAATGAATGATAATTGTTCTTTTTAAAAATAAAGAGTAAAATATAAACAAGTAATAAAATACATAAGTACCAAGTAAAAGTAGACATGGTGGGTTTGCAGTGCAATACACTGCGACCTTTTTCTATAAGCGCATGTGGATTATGTCTTAAAAACGTACTTATTTTTTTTTTTTTATAAATATTATTATATTTCAATAGATTATAAATAAAGTAACAAAAAATAATGAAAATTTAAAAAAAATAATATCAAACTTAGTACTCGATTGGATCTCCTTTGCGCTCAATTCCTTGATATATTTAGAGCAGCTGTGGCGCAGTGGTTACAGCGCTTGCTTTATAAGCAGGAGATCCAGGTTCGAAACGATCTCTGGACATATTTTCGCGTCACGGTAAGGAAGGAGGCGTGAACTTCCTAGTTAAATGCGCTTCCGCAGTGCTCTGTGACAAGATCGTTAGGTCTTCTTGGGGCACCTAAATAACAAAAAAAAAAAAAAAAAAAGATTCGTTTTGGCATACTTCCCACAAAGTTTTCCAGCACTTTTGGCTCCATTTCCTCCCATCATACCGCTACTTTTAGCTTTGCCACAAAGTTATACTGCTTCTGTTCAGCACGTCTTATGATTCCCCAGATGTTTTCAACAGGATTCAAATCTGGGCTGCGAGCAGGCCACCACATTTGCTCGATTTTTTAGCTTTAAACCAAGCTTTAGTCTCGTTACAAGTGTGAATGCTCGCGTTGTCTTGTTGAAAAACAAACGTTTTGCGTCGATATTTGTTTTTAAATGGAATCAAACATGATTTTAGCACATCAAAGAACTTTTCATTTTGCAAGATGTAAATGTTAAATTTAACTTTCCTGTTGCACAAAACCCAAGCCAAACCATCAAAGATCCACCACCGAAATTCCTTGTTGAAAAATATTTGAGTTTTCTTCTCAAATCACGCCAGTAGCCAATAAAACCATCAGGCCCAACAAGATTAAACTTTTTCTCGTCCGAAAAAATCACCTGGTATTGAAAACAAAAATATTCAGCTATTTAGATATCTTACGTATTCATGAGAATTTAATCTAAAATTTCTTACATGTTTCCAATCGCGTGCCATGTTTTTGCGGGCGAATTCCATCCCTTTCTGTTTGTGAACGGGCTTCAAATTTGGTACTTTATTCATTTTTGATCGTAATGTGTGGGCTCTCTTTATGAACTTTCCTAATTGTCTTTTTGCAAACAATTAAACCCAAACTGACTTAATTGTTTTCAAACATTTTGATGAATTTGATGCGATTTAAACAATTCTGCGTTTTTCACGGCCTGAAACCTTAGATTTCTTTGGTTTCCTCTTGATTGTTGCATAATCTGTTGGATTTTTTAAGAAATTACGGATAACGTGATCTGATAACTTCAATTTTCTAGCAATTTCTCGATTTGGAACTTTTTCTCGATGAAAAGGCAATATTTTTTCAATATCGGTAAAGTCCTTTCCTTTCGGCATTTGGTTAAGTTCAACTTAATTTTGACTCACAAAATAAAAAATACTACAGAATATAAAAATTTTGCAAAAAAACTCGTAAAAACTATAATGCGAAAGTTGTCACTGACTGGAGCAAACAGAAAACAATTATCTTATAATCACTCACCGTTAATTTCAGTTTTTACAATCAATACCAATAAACTATAAAATAATCACAAAATATAAGATATTTGTTAAAATGTTGAATCGAATTGATCGTTTTATTATCATTTGTGAGAAATGAGTTCCACAATTGTGGTCCTCTTCTAGATATTGAGAATTTATTTTCAACCAATTGCTTAATTTTTCAAGCTCCTAATTTACTGTGTTAAAAATAGTATTAATAGTTGAGTGGGTGTAGAAAGCTTGGGTATCATTTGCAAAAAGAATAAAGTTTAGTATAAGAAAAGATAAAAATGTCGTTAGTGTATCTGCGAAAAAGCAAAGAGCCTAGAATGGATCCCTGGGGAACGCCACAAGTAATGATTTCAAGGGAAGTGTAAGGTTGATTATAATAAAAGGCTTGTTTCTGATTGTTTAGGTAGAAACTAAACCACTTAAATTTTTTTTATACCATAAATATTTAGTTTGTATAAATGGATATCGTGATTCACTGTATTGAAAGCCTTTGACAAATCGATAAATACTCCAAGTATAATATGATTTTTTGTCAAACCCATTCAAAATTTCGTTAACAATCTTATTTCTGCATGTTCAGTTGAATGGTCTTTTTTAAATTTGTATTGATTATTAAAAAGAATATTGTGATTTTGGAGGTATGTGAAAGCCATTTGTTGATGTTTTTGAATTTTATTAGTTACTAGTTTTGTTGATGTTTTGAATTTTATTAGTTATTAGTTTTGAGTAAGAATTATATTTTATATTGGCTTAAGGGTTGAGGTAGGTTGACCCATATACAACTGGCTGAGTTGTGGGAAAAGTTGTATTTAGTGCTAAGTGTATAAATTTAAGTGTTAAATATTTAAAGTAAGTATATTAAACTTTCGTATGTAAATTTAGTTAATATGTAAATGTGTATTTAACACATAAATTGCATTGATCCAAATATTACGTAAACTTACACGATATTTAAATTTATGTAAATTTAAATACCTACGCAAGTAACTAATACTTACATTGACATACATCTAAATTTAAATATTATGTATACAAATGTATACTAACAAATTGAACATTTGTTTATGAGGCTTATTTCTATCCTTGGAACTTTAGTCTTTTTTATGGCCCACTATAGGTAAAATACGATTTTCAACCACTACTGTCAATTTAAAGCAACCTGGTGAATGAACTTGATCTTAAAAACAAGACATTTGCTGAATTCAGTTTCCAACACTCAATCTTGATGAAGTCACGAACATATTCCACGGTATCGTTTACTAATCGTGACGTTACTTTGACTACATGCATCAGGTTTTATTGCAATTATTTTATATTATAAAAATCAAATAATGATAAAAACATCAGCTTTAAATATTCTTTTTTAAAAATAAAAAATAAATAATTGTATAAAACTCTGATGCGCTATTCGAAGTATTAGACTTGACGAAAAAATACTACACAACAAATAGTATGAAATAATTTAGATTCTTATATAAGAACCATTATTTACAATTTATACCTTAAACTCGAATAGAAAAAAATATATAAAAAATTTATACATTAAGAAAATAAACAATATAAAATCTATTAAGAAAACAAACATTAATACGATATATCAGAAGATAATCTGAAATTAAAAAAAATAACTTAAGGGGAATTTTGAGATATAAAATATTTTGGGACTTAAGAAAAAAAGAGGGCGAATGATTATATATATATATTTACTAGCGCGAAAATCAAACGAATCAACTAGGATATAATTTACTATAGTTTAAATTACTGTAAGTATAATCTAAAAGTGGGGAGTTTCTTTCTTCAACATACTCCCGTGTAGAACATTTTGAAAATGTACGATCGCGTAACTGATCAATAGACCGTTTTTCATGACTTAGAGAATCATTCAAGTCATTATCACCACGCAGCCGGTTAGAATTAATTTCACTATTTTTAGAATCATTTAACAACTCAGCAACTTGTAAAAGGTATTCGTCTAACTTTTTAGATTTATTAGGAGATAAAGCAATGTTACCTGACGAATTTTCATTTGAATTAACGAAAGGTTTATTTGAGTTTGTATCTGGTTTTATATTGATTGGTCGAGATGAAAGATTCTGAGATCTAATATTTGGCATATTCGAATTCACAGATACTTGCGCTGTTACAGCATTAATCTCTGATGCATTTGCTAATAAAGATTCTACTTTTTTGTCAAGCATCTCTCTTTTATGTTTGAATTCATCAATACGAGCAACTAGTTGGGGGTTATAAGACTGCATAGGCATTAGAGATACTTTACGAACAATTGCAGGACTTAATAAAGAATTGCTAATGCTGTTTGAACGCTGTTTCATATCTATCGCATTTGTAATAATATTAAGAGCTGATATCTTATCAGTTGGCTGACGGCTAACTTGATTATTAATAGCAGAAATCTTATCCAATGTTTGACGACTAACTTGGTTAGTAGAGAGAAAAAAGTTTTTATTTTCATTTGATGTTTGACGACTAACTTGGTTAGTAGAAAGAAAAAAGTTTTTATTTTCATCTGAAGAACTATTTTTCTGTTTTGAGTCATTTAAAAGTAGGTTTTTATCGCTTGAATCGTCTATAAGACTTTTTGATTTTGAATCATCAATAGTTATTTTTGCTTGTTTGTCAGAAAAGTTAGTAAACTTAGCTGATGAGTTAAATACACGTGAAGGTTTTTTGCACATTTCTAACTCAACTTGATCTCTGATGACACCATCATAGTTTTTATCAAGCAGTACTCGCATTTTCTCTTCATAATTATTTCCGTCTCCGGGTAATATAGAATAAAGTTCTCGCTTTGCATCGCAAGGCTTTCTTCCTCGACGTACTTCACAACGTTTCTCATATCTAGAAAATACAGAATCATTTTTTACGATTTCCGATTCACTTTTGTCTTTTACTTCAACGGGAAAAGGCTTTCGCAAACTTGGGGTCGATGTAGGTGAAAGTTCATCCGCATCTGCACTATAACCACCTAATGAATTGGCCCTTTTAACAGTTGGTATAAAAACTTGCATTGTGCGACCAATAACAGGACTTTGAGAACCATATGGTTCTTTAAATCCACAACTACTTTCACTTGTAAGACTATTATTATCATCGCTATCAAATCTTTGGGGACTCGTAATTCCGCTATCTTCGTCGTCTTGCTTACTAATACTAGAACTTTGACTTTGTTTGATTAGCACATCTGTATCATCTAAATAACTTGATTCTGGTGAAAATTTATTGCGATCAAAGCGCATTGAAACCTTTGAGTTTTGAAGAAAGGTGCCCATGTTTTTTGATACCAAAGAATTTGTGTTAACTAACGCTTCCGATGGTACAAAGTGATGTATTTCAGCACGTTTTAACTTATCCGATCCATCAATCTTATCGCTTTTAACAGGCATCAATGGGGACTGTGTTTCACTAAAACCTGAAGTTTCACTGTCACTATCTGGCTCAATCTGCCTCGGCGGTTCAGTTGTAGATGATTTCTTTCGATCCATTATAGGAGAAATCATTTTATTACCTTTGTTTAGCAATTTATTTAAAAACTTTTGACCCTATTAAAAAAGAATAAAATAAGATTAAATATAAAAAATCGCCCAACAAAACAAAACCAACCAATAAAATATAAGCAACAAATAAAACCATAACGACCAATAAAAAATAATTGACAGTAAAACAAAACCGATAAAAAAATATATAACCCACTAATAAGATATAAGCAACCAATAAAACAAAACCGAAAATATTTTTTTAAAATTAAAAAATGTTACCTTATTTCCTGATTGAACTGGATCTGAAAAAAAAAATTCATTTGTTATATATAACAAACATATGATACATTTGAAAAATACTTTAAATTGACTATTACTTTTTTATTATTACAAACTCACAGTTTACCTCCATGCAATCAATAATTAATTTAGATAAGAAATCTATCTATGAATACAGAGTTAACAAATACAGAAGGAGAGACTTAATAAATTACAAAAATTACTAATTATTAAAACTTTGTGACTAGAAATCTAAAAGAACAAATATGCTTTGATTAGAGCAATCAGTAAATGCTATGAACACCACATGCAACAATAAACTGGAGCACTAAACACTTTTTGTACGCTAAATTTAAAACAAAATTGCTTTATGAAATTTAAAAAAGATGAGCATAAAATAAGAATCCAAGAAGACATAAAGAAATGCTATGCAAAATACAAAAAATTTGTTTTTAATTTATGCAAACACCATTAAAACGTAGAATCGGAGTATTTCATAACCATAAATAAATACAAACATAAATGTCAATAAACTATGGTAAATCTAGTTTTATGTATATGATAAAATTTTATTAATTTTTTATAATTCTTTAATATATATATATATATATTTTGAATCGCCAATGCTGCAATGCTCCATTACTGTTGTTGATGTAGCATCAACATTACTTTTTAAAAACACACATCATGAAGGGACTACTCGAAATATAAACACAATTGTGTTCTTTATTATCCATTAACTAGTGACATTTAAGTAAATTATATATATTTTTTTAAATTCACCTCCTCAAGGCCGAGAAGGCCACTTCAGACGAGGAGGCTACTTATTTGTGGTTATAACCCTCTCTCAACTCTATAACTTCGAAACACGAACCTTGACGAACAAGGCTGCTGCGCAGAGAAACAAGTTGAGCACGGTACTACCAGGGACGTGGTGGGGATCGAACTCGGAACCACTCGTTTATGAAGCGAGCGCTCTACCACTACACCACTACCGCATATAATAGTGACATTTAAATATCATGCTTAAGATGATTTGAATTGCCTTGGGAATAGCAATTTCTGCCTGTAAATGAGGCAACAAGGCTTAGACAACATACTCTTAATGGTCTTAAAAAACTATTGGAGCAAGGTTTTTGTTGCTGTCTGATTAGATTGCTCCTATTGTGCTTGGCATTTTCTTATTCCTAATTCTATCTTTTTCTTCTATAATCTCTTATATGTTTTTAAATGGAATACTGTGGTTATATTCTGATATATGTGGCTGATTCTTTATAAGACGCTCTTTCTCTTTTAAAAATGGTTCAAAAACACAGTAGTCAAACCTCTAGTTTTCAAGCTTGAGTCTCTTTCTTACTATAATAATACAATAATAATACTCGTTATCACAGGGTCCTGTGATAACGAAATCTGGAAAAATATCTGATCGTTTTAGAAATTTGTTTTAATAGGCATAAAATGAAATGAACTTGTTAGCAAAAAAGTCTTAAAAAACAAAACAAAAACAATAAACTTACAACTTTAAAAGTAATAACACTATAACCACTAACTACGTTATAAAAGTAATAACACTATAATAGTGTTATTACTTTTATAACTTTTTATAATTTTTATAACTTACACCTGTAATTCATTGTTTGTTCAAACAAAACTTAATCAAGATATCATAAATGAAAAATGATTTAAATAAATTATCCTAAGTTCTAATTGAAGTAGAAATGCATCTAGAAAAAATTGAATGCATATTTAAGTAATATTACTTTAGGAACTTTTTGTAAACACACTTTTAGCATTTCTAAACTGTTATTAATGATTCGAAAAAATCATAAATATTAACTCACGTTAATTTCAAAATCAACCAATCAAAATACTGTTAATTTAGGAGTAAACAATAACTTTTTTTATATATGGCGATGAAAACAAAGTTCACGCAGAAACTAATATTTTAAAGACCAAATATTTATAAAGATATCATGTTTCGTAATTGCTTAATTCAATCCTTGTAAGATTACACCTCTTATCTTTTCAACAAATACTACTTTAGTTGTTGCTCAAGCATTTTTTGATATTCTGCTTGAGCAGCGACCATGGTAGTTTACCATTATCCAAAACTTAATTACATGTGACTTGTTAATTCCTGCTAAGTCACAACTTTTTATTGTAACTATTCATTCCTGTTAAGTACTGTATCTGCTTCTTTATGTTAAAAAAACGTTTTAGTTATCATCAAAATTTATATAAATTATATATTGTAAATAGAACAAAAAAGAGAAAATAACATACCATTTTCTACATTAGGAACAGCATACTTATTTAAACTATCTGCCATCCATTTTGAAGTATTAGCACTAATAATTTCTGCATTGTTGTTGTTCTATAAAATATTAAAACATAAAGCAATCATGGTAAATAGGAACAAATATTGTTCTAACTTACTGAAAAATTTACTGTAAAATTTGAAATAATCAAAAAGCTGCTTTACTAATAAAATGTAAAGAAAAAAAAAGAAAAAAAGAAAAACAAACAAAATTATATGATTTGATTTACTGAGTGAACAAAAAAGTTGAATTTTAAATGGAAAAAAAAAAAAATTAAATTTTAAACGAAACATGTAGACTTACTTCTATTTCAGGAGGTGGTTCGTCTCCATCACAAAACATCCATTCAGACTATTAAAACAATAAAAAATATATAAGCAGTACTTGTTAACATATAAGCATGAATAAAAAAGCAAATAAAAAATTACATTCAAAATGAGTGTTTCAATAATTTTACATTGATCAGACATATCTTTGACCATAGATGCAAGATCTCCTTCATTTGTCCTTACAATTGTTGGTCCAAAAACAATAGCTAAATTTTTTGGCTCCATCTAAAATATAGCGTATTTAATTAATTATCTAAAAAAGCGTATTTTAATTAACAATTGTTAACAATTAAAATAATATTTTTTATTATAATAAAAATAATATTTTTTATTATAAATTATCAAAACTAGATAAAAACATCTAAAAATTAATCTGCTGTTTTTGTTGATGTTACAGTTATGTTTTACTAAGTTACAAACTTACTTTGTTTTTGTCACTATGGTCAGCAATAACTCTTAGATGATTTATTAGAAATTGTAATGTACAATAATGATATTCTGGCAATGATTTGATTACAGTTTTCATTGTGGCCATCTTCTTCACTTGATCGTTTAAATGATTGGATTCAAGTAGAGTAGAATAAACATCTATAAAAAAATTATCAAAGATATTATAAAAGATATTCAGAGTTTTTAAATCTAAATAAACAAAACATTAAAAAAAAACACTGTACACTGTAAAATCATACTTCCAGTAACCATAGTTACTATAATCATCATTTGCATTGTTTAGGTAAAGCTACAAAGCTTAAGTAAAGCTATATTTTTTTTATTAAAATTTTATTAAAAAAAAAAAAAAACAAAGCAAAAAACAAAGAAGAATCCAAAAAATCAGTTTATTTTTATTTGGGTACTGCATGAAAAAATACATAAATAATTTAAGTGCTGCATAAATAAGTTTTTTTTTCAAATCAATTGTTGTGTTTATTGCGCTGGTTACAATATTCCACATATAATCAAAAATAAAATACTAAATAATCATTTTTATAGCCTTTTAATTTAATTTTGATTAAAAAATTGAATTGATTATCAGGAAAGAAACCGAACCTCACGGTAAGTATCTTATGTCTAAAAAAATACAGAAAGAAAATCAAGTTAGAGCAGTTATAGCATACATCAGGAAATAAGATCAAAATTTGTTTGCTATCTTTTAAGCTTTATTTTTTACATAAAAATTTAGATACCTAAAACAAAAAAACTGAGCTTAACTTGGAGTATTTATTGAATTTTGCATTTGATTGCTAATTATAATTTAAGAAAAATGTTAAAATATTCTGTAAAAACCTTTTTGGTATTTAGTGTCAGTAATACTTTGTATTTATGCATAAAAATGATTGCATCTTTTTATTATATCTAGGAATTTCAGTTTTTTAAAGGTCTATATATATAGCTATTTGTGCTACAAGGAAATATTAATGTTGCAATCAAAAAAAGTTATTAAAACTAAAAATTAAGTTTTTAGTAAAAGTCATTATAAATAAAAAGACATTTAGATTTTGCAGACTGGAAAATTTTCCTGCCATTTCTTATAACTGAAAAAGTCAAAATACTCAACGATTTTGACTTTTTATTTTTTTTTCACTTATGAATTTGCAAATGTCAAATGTTCCAAGTTTAGTTTTACCCAATTTTTTAGTTTGTAATAAATCTTTATAATTCTGAAAGGAGATAATATCTACATAAACATGCCATTTGATAAACAAGACAATAAAATGGGGAAAGACTAATCATGATAAAATAAGAAAAAGCAAACAAAGAAATTTGGAATAATGCAAATGTGAGCTGGTTTACTTTCTTACATAGTACAACTATGCAGGTTTTTGACTTTTTTCTTTGAAATAATTGGCATATTTCTTTATTTCTCTTCCCCATTATATTTTTGATCTCAGCATCTAATACCACTTTCCTTTCTTTTGACATAACAATTTTACAGTGTTTGGGATCAAATGTCAGAGATAAGAACACCAAATCAAGTTTTCTGAAAACTTTTTTTTTAAAAAGTTCAATTTTACGTAACTTTTTGTTTTTTTTGGTTGAAAAACTTGATTTCGCTATTTATTAAAAACAAACAATGGCAACAGTTGTTCTTAAATATTGATGTCGTCTGAGCTTAAGTAGCTAAAAAATAAAGAAAGTTCTAAAATGTCGAAATAAACAAAAATTAATCAAATACTAAGTCAGAAATGGTTGTTTTAATTATTATTAAGCTAAAATTTGAAATCACAAGTAAACATTCTTAAAAGTTCCACCTATTTGCATATGTTTACATATGTTTTATGACCAGTATATTACACAGCTTCTAGCATCATTAAAATGTCTTCTGTAAATTATATAACCATGTTATGGTTGTAAACACATAGCAAATACAAACTAGTTTTTCTATTGAACTAGAGTTCAATTTTTGTTCCTAAACATCAGATAAGTTTCTAAACTTATCTGATGCTTAGGAACATCAGATAAGTTTAGAAATATTGGTTGTAACACTATATCAGATAAATTATGGAGCATGGGTTGCACCACTTTATTATGGGTTGCAACACTGTATTATTCAAAAACAGAACTCAAGCATTTAAGTATTCAAGGACCATGCTGACAAAACAATAAAAATGAAAAAATGACAAAACAATAAAAATTTTGATACATCTTATTGTTTTTAAAATTCAGTTTCACAAAGGGATTTTGAGAAAATATTTGTTATTTGAAAATATGATTCAGTTTATAACAAAAGAATTTAAAATTTAATATGTGAAGAAATAACAAACTAGCTAAAATAACCAGAAATTTATGTATGTATATCAGAGGCTATTCTAGGCAAAAAATTTGGGTGGCAGTACCCCCGTCCCGGAGAAAAATAGCAAAAATAATGCAGAATATTGTTTTTTTTTGCAAAAAAAAAAAGGTAATTTGGGAGGCACCCAAATACATTCGACGCTGTCAAAAACAGTTTAGAATAACCCCTATATATATATATATATATATATATATATATATATATATATATATATATATATATATATATATATATATATATATATATATATATATATATATATATATATATATATATAATTATATACATACATATATACATACACACACACACACACACACACACACACACACACACACACACACACACACATGAAACAATACTTAAAGTTGAATAGTAAGAAAATTAAACTCACTGTTATGAATAATAGGTTCAGGAAGCTCTCGTAAAAACGATTTCAGCAAACTTCCAATGTTGTTTAATTCATACCATTTCTACATTGAGATATATTATGTTAATTAAATATTTTTAATATGTGAAATCTTTAAATATTGATCCTAATTCAAGCCTAATGGGTCATGTTGCTGGTAAGTTTACTATTATGTTTTCATATTTAATATTTGTTGTTGTAATCTTCTCATTGAAGCATTTTCACAACACGAGACTATATAAACCTAATTAAATTCTAATTAATTTGCATAAAAGCGATTTAATGATAATTAAAAAAAATAGTAATTTATGTAAATTTATATCTTTAATTATTAAAGGTTTACCATAACTCAGGGAGTTACTAGTGGAGTCAAACAATTGTTTTATTTTTTTAAGGTTATTATGATAAATTATAAATTATAACAACATCACAAATATATTTAAACTTTGAAATATACTTCTTCATCCCAATTGATATCTTTTGGATCTTTCTCATCAAGTTCTCTCTTAAGTAATTGAATATTGCTTGTATTTCCAGGAACTCTAAATTTCAAAATGCAAAATGATAACAATACATGATATCAATCATTTTCTGGTTTATATAAAAACTTTGGATATCTACATATGTATGTATGTATGTATGTATGTATGCATGTATGTATGTATGTATGTATGTATGTATGTATGTATGTATGTATGTATGTATGTATGTATGTATGTATGTATGTATGTATGTATGTATGTATGTATGTATGTATGTATGTATGTATATATATATATATATATATATATATATATATATATATATATATATATATTATATATATAATTAACTGTTTGAAGAAGTGAAACCTTAAATTTTCTTATTTAAAAATAAAATAAAATTAGAAACAAAAATAATAATAAAAATAGGAGGAAAAAAAATAATAAACTAAAGAATTTTAAGTAGAAAAAGTTCTGAATTAATTAGAAAACTGAAACTGAATATTATTAAAAACTATTTGAAAAACTAAAATCTAAATTTGTTAAAATCTTAAATAAAATAATCATAAAAGAAACCTGTAGATTCCAACAACCTCCTTTCCTCTTTCCCCAATTACATTACAACAGTGTTCAACTACCAAAGGAACATTCTAGAATAAAAATTAATAAGTTAGAAAATTATAATATAAAAACAAAAACAAACAATATCTAATTTTCTTTATCAAAATACCTTGACATTTTTTGCAGGGGGACAAGAATGAATAGGTATTCCAAATGTTTTAGGTGCCACTGAATACTTTGGGTTTATAATAATTGGTGCATCAGAGCCACGACTCTTTCTGCTGCGAAGACTAAAGTGTCCTAAAATTATAAACATCAATAAAGAGTTTAATTTGATGACTATTTCTACATTTTATGTAAAGAGGATCCAAAAGTACTAATAAAATAATTTTATAACTTCATATACAAAAATTAGATTTAGATCAAGTTGTTTATCTGCACAGTGGCCTTCTTCTCTTAGCCTCATCAGTCTCAATATGTGGCCTTCTTCTCTTAGCCTCATCAGTCTCAATATGTGGCCTTCTTTGTCAAGATTTAAGAGTATACTCCTTTAATAGAGTGGGACACAAAAATTTATTTTTTAAAACCATTAGCTAACCATACAATATAATTTTATTATTTTATAACTTTCTGACAATAAAATTTATTAAAACAAAAACAAACAAAAAAGTGACACAAGTTATTTAATATATAAAAATGCAAAAAAGTATTCAAATAAAACCTAAAAAAATATGAAAAACATATAAGAACATAAAAGCAAATATGAAAAATTTTTAATGCTGACACTTTTTGGTAAATAATTTTAAAAGCAAAAAATCAAAGTTTTTTGCTTAAAAAAATTTTTTTTTTCTTTTCCTCACTCACCGGCCCTTATATAAAATAAGTTTAATGCCATGAACAGACACTCAAAAAAATAATTTATTACAACACATAGAGACACAATTCATGTCTGATTTTTATTTGTTATAATTTAAATTCACTTTCTAATTTTAATAACCTGGGTTGGGGTTAAATACGTATTTGTATTTGTTTTTGGTAAAAATAGACCTATTTGGCATATTTGTATTTGTGTTGTATTTGATAAAAATTTTTTTTTAAACATTTGTATTAATATTTGATTGAAATGTGTTTGCAGTTCCATAAATTGGGTTACCCACTCAGCGTAGTTAAGGAGAGATCCGAACGATTTGCATTTCTTAAAAACAAAAATTTACATTTTTAAACTTAAATTTTTTGTATTTTACGCTTATTTTTTGACTATTATTATATTAAAAAAAAATTATTATATATATTACTGGACATGATATATTTTTAAAAAGTAAAATTTAAGCTTTTTTTTATATAATTTATTATTTTTTTATAAATCTTTTTTTAACCAAAGCATCAAGCAAAACAAAACTACCACTAAAATACATAAAATGTGACAGGACAGCGTCATAAAAACAGCTGAAACAAATGTGTTAAGTGTTTACATTCCAAAAATGTCTCTTTTATTCAGTAAAAAGAATTTTTGTTTACAGCATTAAAATATTCAATAAATGACTAAAAACCTCTTATTTTATCCTTATGTAAACAGTAAAACGTTAAAATCAAAGTTTTCACATTAGTTTTCACTCATAGTAATTTTTTATTATAATCTCTTTATAGTCGTTTGATTAATTACTAAACAGCTTTTCAGCTTTTGTGTAACGTTTCAGCTTTTGTATAACTTCTGCCCCATAGTATTAAGCTAAAACTTTAAACTCGTAGATAATAAAATCACTGAATATTTGTAAACAATAAAACAATGAGCTTTGTAATTTTTTTCAAGAAATAAACCAATCAAAACGCACATAAAATAAGACAACATTTTTTGAGAGCAAAAGGGCCTAAATACTATATTTTTAGTCGTATCTCTCCTTAACTACGCTGAGCAGAGTTTTTTTGAAAATACCAATAGAGATTTTTTTTCATTTTTAACACTAAAATTAGCTAAAAATTTGTTTTTAAGGGAAAATTGTTTTTAAGGATTTGCTTTTATGCTGTATGTGCATAAGGGTGTAATGTGTTAGAAGACTTGTTTTCATATTTCTATATAGTAGACTATTTTATTAGTCTTGTCTTGAAAGAATCTTAACCTAAATTACAAATATTTGTACTTGTATTTGAAAAATGCAGACTGAATATATTTGTATTTGAATTTGTTTTTTTATTTAGAATTAATGAATTTAGAATTAATGCATTTGTATTTGATGAAACATATTTACCTCCCTGGTAATCATAGTCTACTTTTATTTGCTGCAATTCCTAAACAGAATTTAATAAAACAAAACAAACCCATTTTTAAGCTGTATGTTCCTTTCTTTTCTTTGCCAGTAAACTTAACAGGATGGGGTGGCGACCTTGAATAGAAATCACATAAAATGTTAGTCAACTTTCTAAACTAATTAGTTTCTCACCAAACAACAAATTATATAAAAAATAACTACAAATCACAATTTAAAAGTCACATTATACAAGCAGAAAGTAAAATTAAAGAATTTCTGATATTTTCTTTTAAATACAATTCTAGAGTATTCTCTGTGATAGTGTCACAAAGTATTCTCTGTGATAATGTCACAGAGTATTCTCTGTGATAATGTCACAGAGTATTCTCTGTGATAATGTCACAGAGTATTCTCTGTGATAATGTCACAGAGTATTCTCTGTGATAATGTCACAGAGTATTCTATGTGATAATGTCACAGAGTATTCTCTGTGATAATGTTACAGAGTATTCTATGTGATAATGTCACAGAGTATTCTATGTGATAATGTCACATAGTATTCTTTGTGATAATATCACAGAGTATTCTCTGTGATAATGGCAAACTGTTGTAACAACAAAACTCATTTTATTCATCACTCTAAAATGTTGATACATCTAAAAGACCTAGTCTTCTTGTTAAACCTTGCTTGTGGCAGTCAACATTAGATTTTGATCTGATATAATGCTTTTTCTTAATTAAATTTTTTTTTTTAATTTAAAAAAAAAAATTGATTTAAAAAGTTTAATAAAATTAATACTTTTTAGAAATAATATTCACATTTTCAGTTTATAAAAATTTATTGATACACTTCATTTATATGCATGTGCCATATTATATTAAAAGTTATTGATACACTTTATTTATATCCATGTGTCACATATGACTTACTCTTTATACATAATTGAAAGGTAACTAAATTCAATTTTATTTACTAATTATATTGTAATCATATAACACTCATTAAATAAAAGAGTAAATATACAATAGTAACAGGAATTTAATATTTACACCATTATAAAATCTAAACATAAGCAATGAAATTTTTGTGAGAAAATAAAAGGCTGTATTTGTAAAAGTCAAAAAATCATTACTGCATTTGGATTAAAATCTGTTTGTTCTTGTTCAAATAAAAATTCTAATAAATGAATTTATTATTTCTAAATATTGCTCTATGAAGTGTCACAGAGCAAAATGTTGCTTTAAGAAACAAACTTTCATACCACATCCCTCACTGCTTTTACTTCCCTTCCTTCTCAATCTTAGCATAAAATAAAAAAAAAAATCTCAACTGTCAGACCTTGAACCCACCCCAGGTACAAAAAATTAAAATTAATGCATAAATTTATTATTGAGCTCAAAAAGACTTCAAAAATTACCTTTTTAACTACTTAAACAAAATAAAGTAATTTTGTCATAAATTATCATAAGTAATATGCCAACTCAACATTTAAATAAGCTTTACATAAAAGGCTGTGTTTAGAAAAGACAAAAATTGTAAAGATATATTTTGTAATTATTAGGTAAAATCACCTTGAGAAATTTTCCTTTGACTGCAAAAATACCCTATAAAATGTGCATTAATTATTCAATTTATATGGTACTTTTCAAAAAATACTTAATTTGATATTAAAATCCACCATGTAAAAGATTGTGTATGTACTAAATTTTAGGTCAATTACTCATTCTGTTTGTTAAATATTGCTATTAAAAAAAAAAAAAAAAGCAAAAAATGCTGAGATAGCATAAATAAGATAAATGATATCTGAATATCTCAAGAACCGTTGGAGATTTTAATTTTCAGATTTTAATAGTTTTAATAAAGCCTAAAACATATTTAAAAAATTAGCAAAATGTAAAACATGTGGCGACATTTTTTTGGGTTTTTATGGTGATTTGAAATAGAATGACCCTATAATAATAATAAAATGATAGTTCAATGTTTTTTAAATAAAGTTAAAACTAACTGGAGGAAATGGAGCAAGGGGCACAGTCAACTATATTTCAAGTCTTTTTACTAATTTAAAATAATTTTTATAATAATAATAATAATAATAATAATAATAATAATAACAAACAATAATAATAATAAAAAATAATAAATATAATAAAAATAAATTTAATAAACTATATTAAATAATAAATTTATTTCTGAGATGTTAAAGTTCCGTGTTGTATAACATTAAACATGGTTCAAAGTGATTTCTGTAACTTAAGTCATTTTAGTCATTCAAATAACTACTATTTTAATGGACTTTTCAAAGATTAATTAATTTATTATTGCTTCGTTTTTTATTATTATTACAAAACATAATTAAACATACGGTTCATTTTCCAATTTTTTGTGTGTCTTAATTGAAGCAGTTGACTTCAGCAAACTCTAAAAAAAACTATTATGCAACAATTATTTTTATTACAAAATAAATTTTAGCATTATCTTTAGTAAAATAATTATAAATAGTAGCTGTTAGCAACCTTTCTTGATAATGTAATTTAATCATAAAATTCTTTATATAGCCTTAAATTGTTTTTTATACTGTTTATATAACTATTTGTATAAATAGTTAAATTTAGTATTTACAAATGCTATGCACAAAGCTCATTCAATGTCAAATCAAGTTTTTTTATATTTTATATTTTTTAAAAATAGTTTAAAAAAAGTTCTTATATATACTATTTCAAAAGAAAAAAGTTAATAAAAGTTAAATTAAATTTTAAAACATTAAATAAAAAATGATATTTAAAAGCAAAAAATAATATTAAATAAAAAATATATGAACATTTCATTTATTAAATTTACAATTTAAAAACCTGAGTATTATATACTTGCTTGTTCAAATGTTTACCTCCTTATCTGGATTTGCATCTCTCAATGCATGCACCCAACTCATCATTGCAGCTGTATCTTCAGCCTATTAAGAAACTATTTACATAATATTGCTAGCCAATAAAATAGTATACCTAGAAGTAACTAGATATTTTCCAAAAAAATTTAATTAAAAGCATGTCTCAAATTTTATTCTATTTATCTATTTTAATAACTACACACACAGGCACACACGCACATAAAACACATGCACATGTACACACACATATATACATACACACACACACATATATGTGTGTGTGTATATACTTAGACAATTTACTTTTGGGTTTAGAATCTTGCTAATTATTTTACTTATATTCAGTTCACCAAGTTTTCTCTTCAATAGTAAGACCTTCTCTGAAAGATTATGGGTTATGATTTGTGTGTGTGCGCGCGCGCGCGTGTATGTGTATGTATTAGGAATGTAACAGAAGTTAATTAGAGATTTAACAGTGGTTTAAAAATTTATATATATATATATATATATATAAAATTTATCATTGTTAACAAACTATTTCTATTCTATTTCTATTATATACTATTATATCTACTCAGCTCAACAATTTATTTGATTTTCTATTTTTGTTAGTTACCATTATATATCCAAAAAAAAAAAAACTTGCATTTCTTTGCTTGCTATTGAATGACAAATAAGCTATGTTTTATTTAATTACTTTTAATTAACTTTTTTTAACTTTTCTTTTTCTCACTCTATTAGTAACAACAAGTTCATGACAATCATCCTCATCAAGTTACTTTAATTTTGAAAGAAAATCACTGGATCCAATGGTCATGTGACTAGAAATATTTCAAAAATATGTGGCGGCACACAAGTTATAACTTAAAAGAATATCTATGAAACATGCACAATAATTAAAAAAAAAATGAAAAAACTTGCAAATTTTTTACCTGGACTTGTATATGTAAAAAATTTAATTAAAAAAAAACAAAATAAAAAAATGTGTTAATATACTACAAATACAAAAAGTAGTTATGCAAAACAAAAATTAAAGCTAAAAAACAAAAACCAAATTTACCTGAAAAAGATATTCATTGCCATGTGAAGTAACCATTCTAATAACATGTCTTCTTTTTACATAATCACTAGCTATTTCTATAATGGAACTTCTGATTGGTATTGGTTGGATAATATCAACATCTGCATCACAACCTTGTGCTTTGTAGCAGAATAATCGATGTCCTTTTAACACTGCATAAACAGGCTTCCAGGTTCGAGCATGTGCTTTCTAAATTAAAATTTTTATTAATCAAAACACTTTAACAACAAAAAAATACATTCAAAAAAAAATTATGTTCTTAAAAATAGGAAATCAATTTATTAATGCACAATTCAAACTTTTACTACTGCGTTTGTTTTTTTTTAGAGCATTTTTAAAGTAAAGTAGAAAGTATCCAAATGAAAAAATATAAAATGAATAATAAAAAATTATCTAATAAATGTAAAATATTAAAATAAAAGATTGATATCGAATGAAAAAGTAACATCATTGAAGCAATATGGAAAACTATGGAAACAGATGGTAAAATAAAGAACAAAACATAGTTATAAAACAATCGTTATTTGAGTAAATATTTTTTCTTTTTATTTCTATTTTTAATAATTCATTTTTGAGTTTTATTTATTTATTTATTTTGTTAGAGACCTTGTTCTTTAAAAAAATTTATAAAACTTTTATTTAAAATTTTTAAGAACTTTTTGTTTATTATTTTTCAAACACTTGTTTCTATTTTCTGTAAATTTTAGTCACAATTTTTTATTAACTTCCGTAATGTTTACTTTCGAAAATGATTTAAATTAATTTTATTTTTAGTTTTTTTTTTGTTAAAAATTAGGCACCCACCATTCCGAGTCACTGTCATAGTAATCTTTGCATTTTTTTTGAACTAAAACAATTAGAAAATGAAAAGTTGTTTTTTATCCTTTACAATCATAAAATGTTAAGTAAAGCCACACAAGGATTTTTCCAACGTCCTTAATTAAATAATTTAAATTAAAAAAGAGATCAAGTGCTGAGGTTTTAAAAGTAATTAAAATGCAATTTATTTCTAGTCATTTGATGTCCAGGACCTCCTTAATTGTTTCTGAGAGTTCAAGACTAATTTTCAGATATGAATCTAGAGTCCTTATATAAAATAGTAGCCTAAAACTCTAGGACTCTGCACTAAAAAAGAACCGGTTCCAGAACTCTAAAGTAACAAATTTTTTCTCTATGTAGTCCAGAAGTCTCTTAATATTTCAAGAGATTTCACAACTGGTATCTGATATCTTCAAGCTTTTAATAAAGCTTATTTAATATTTTATATTAATAAGTTTATTTACTTATATTATTTATTAAAATGCTTACGTCATGATAAAAACCTGTTCAAATAAAGGGTAAGCAAAATAAAGTTTAAAAGCTAGTGAATAGAAAGAATCTGAAAGAGATGGTAAACAGCAAACAGAATCAAGTTATAGGAATAGCAATAAATAATGGAATATTTTTTAATATAACTTTTTTAATATAAGTTATAAATTTTTAAATTATGAAGTAATTAGAAATTCTTAATTATATTAGTTATTAAAAATTAATATTAATAGTAATTAATATTATTTTAAATCTGTTTTCCTTAAAGTAGTTAAAAAAGTATTTTAGAAAATAAAAATTATTTTAAACAAAAAAATATTAAAATTCAATTTACGAAACTAGGCTTTTATCTGGACAAAAAAATTGTTTTAAAAAAAAAAATTATTTTGGTTTTTGTAATAACTTTTTTTTCGCCTTATTCAAGCATAAATTTTTATTACACAAATTATATAGTAACTAATATCTTTAATTATAAATTTTGTTGAAATTTATTTCTAACAGTTTACCATTTAGCCCTCTTTTCCTCCTCAAACCATGTAATAATATCACAACCATGTTTATAACAGCCATGTGTGTTATAACACAGCCATATAGCCAGGTGTGTAATAACACAAATTAAACTTGCTATATAATATATCAACAAACCTACAGTCTAAAAGTGTATTAGCACTTTCAAAGCATTGTGTTGTTAATTAATTCTACAATCATAAAAATGCCTTTAAAAAAATCCACAAGTTACTGTACTTTTATTAAAATCATTGTTTAAAACAACCCACAGATTTTTTCACAATTCCTCTGCATTTAATCATTTAAAAATAGTTAGATGCAGGAATTTTACAAAAAACATGGCTGCCATCCAATTTCTTTGTTTTTCAATACCATAAAACTGATGTAAAAAAACAGTAAACAAATAAAAAAAATTAAGCATGACATGTAGCGAATATCACTATTAAATAATGTGGTCTAACTAACTAAACTTTACCTTTGATTTAACAAATTAGAAATATCAAATAAGAATAGATAGTAAAAGAAATGTTTTTTGAGTAACATCAACAGTGGCATTTGAAAAAATTAAAAATTTAACAAAAGTTTGAAACTCTGCAACTTCTTTACATTCTTTTACCTGTACTTACTTTTTTGTCAATAGATTTTTCTAGTTTTCTATTTAATGGACCTTCCTTGATAACCTATAAAAAATGATTTTAAACGTCTTTATAAAAAAAACCATTTAACAAGTATCAGTACAAAAAAAAGTTTTTTTTAAAACTTTTTTTGAAACTTTATTTAAAAAAAATTAATTTATCATTTTAAAATCAAACAAATTAAATATAATACTTAAACTACAAATACAGCAATACACTTAAATATAAAACTACTTTTCAAAAAAAAAAAAAAAAAAATTTCATACCAAACTGGCTTCATCGTCAGCAGGTTTTTGCGAATGTCCTTGAGATTTATTACTGTTTGTCTACAAATAAAAATAAAAAACTTTCACATAAGTTTAAAAATTAAAGTATATCAGCATCAAAAAATCAAAATTAAATTATAAAAACACTAACATCGCTGTCTTCACCATCAGCATCACTATTCCCTTTTCTACTTATTTCTTTATCTTTTAATTGTAAATATGAAGCCCGTCTGTCCTCCCAGTTATTTAATTCTTGTTCATTCTCAGAATGAACATCAGAGTCATCTTCATCAGAATTCTCAACTGAAGAAGTTGATTGTTTTCTTATACCTATCATTGTAGAGTGTTTTTGACTAGATGCAACATTTTCATCAAATTTAGGAGTTATAATAATAGTATTTTCTTCTCCTAATGTAACACTTTCACTTTGTTTACAATCAGAACTTTCAATCAATGTAGCTTGATAATTTTTAGTGGTTAACCTAATAGTTAAAGCTTCTTTTTCTAATGAATCGGAAACTTGTGATTTTGAATCATTTTGACGCATATTTTTATACTCTTCAGAATCTAAATAAAAGCCTATATTATCATCATGTTGAAAGTCTTCTCTTAAGACACTTGTAGCTGAGTACCTCCTTCCTAAGTTTACTGAGTTCCTACCGGGAGCAAAAAGCTCTTTAATGTTACTTACAGCTCCTGGTTTAGATACTCCTGAAATCATTTTAGGTGCCAACCGCAAGCCATAAGACTTTTTATAGACTTCACGCTTTAAAGCTTTGTTTAAAGTTTGAGGTGGAACACCTGAACCTAGGTCATCATCTTTAATTTCATTGTTTTGAGGTTGACCAACTGAAAATCCTAAATTTTGATCCAATGTAGGCGATTGGTTTCCTAATTCAATACTATTAGAACTTTGTGTTAAAGGAAGGGAATCTGCATTTCTTAGTGGAGTATGCATTCCTGATGAACCAATTGAACTAGATCTGCTAGAACGAGATTCCTGATTCAAAATCGGAGTTCCAGCTACAAAAGAAACACATGGATCATATTTTCTTTCATCCATAAAACTGTTATGCCTGGTCTCCATGCTTGCACTTTTTCTTGGTTGAATAGATGCAGCCCATTTGTTGACACTTGGTTGAGACATTTTTGGTAATTGTTGGCAATCAAAACTATACTCTTTGCTATCAAACTCTTGATAAATCTAAAAACATTTATAAAAACTTGACTACCTTAAACTATAGTTATAATTTAAAAACATTGAATAAATTAGCATAAATAAATTCTTTAAGTTTTGTATTTATAATTTTTATTTTTAAAAA